CCAGAGTCGTCTGAACACGCCTGGCCTGGGGTGTCTCGTTGCGGACGAGTTCGCAGGTGGTAAGGGAGCTGTGTCCCCGCCCCGCAGGAAGAGTACGCCTGCTCCCTCCTGCGCGGCTCGCGGTTTGGCTCTTCATGTCGGAGAAATTTATGATAACGGTTAACGTTTATTGAGGGTTTACTATGTGCGAGGCCCCGAGCTGCTTATTTTATATTATCCTACTTAATCTCACCTGCAGGATAAATATTATGATTTCCGTTTGATTGTGATGAAACCGAGGTACAGAGAGGTCAGGTCAGGCTCCCAGGGCCATAAAGTTAGGAGGTGGTGAAGCCGGATTGGCACCAGCTTCGCGCCTGCTGAGCCCACGTTCCAGACCCCTCGCCCCATTTCCCCAGAGTCCTCCTGCATTCTAGGTTGTTGTAGGTCCTACTTTGTGGAGTGATATAGTTTCATTATTTTTTGCTCTTCTGTTTCCAGAAATTAAGCATATTTCATTATGACTCATTCCTGGGTGGTGAGTATAGTGGTAGATTCTCATATTTTACTATACATATTAAAAGTCTATAAAACAAGGGTTTATAATGCTTATGTTTGCCTGGAAATTTGCTGATATAGCTGTATGAGCTATATATAAATCAGCCTATTGCCAGAGAGGTGTGCTTTTAAAGCAAACAATCACTGACTTATCCACTCCACCCTGCCCTGTTCATTTAAAATTTTTTTTCTTTTTAGATTTTATTTATTTATTTGAGAGAGAGAGAGAGACAGAGATAGTGAGAGAGAGCGCAAGTGGGGAGGAGAGGGAGAAGCAGGCTTCCCGCAGAGCAAGGAGCCCAACGCGGGGCTCGATCCCAGGGCCCCAAGATCATGACCCGAGGCGAAGGCAGACGCTTAACTGACTGAGCCACCCAGGTGCCCTGCCATGTTCATTTAAGTGAAAGTTTTTTTTGTTTTGTTTTGTTTTGTTTTAAAACACCAGAATTTTGGTGTTTTGTGGCAGTGTGCTTTCAGCGGTAATGAAAGTCTCTCCTGACTGTCTTAACCCCAGCCCAAATGCATTTTGTTTTGAATTCTTAATCCCTTTAGTTATAAATTTAAGGTTAGTGTTCCCGATTCTGCTTGGTGCTGTGATACAGAACTACGAGGGAGTTTGACCTAGGATAAGAGAGAGCTGGGCCACATAGCTCCTCTGTGTCTTGGTCTACCTTGTAACTCACCAGTTCTCTTGGACTTTTACATGTTTCTGCCTCCCATTCTAAGTTCGGGACCCTGAACAGTTCTGTATCAGACTCAACACAATGCCAAATGCATAGGAACTACTTAATAAGCATTGTGAATGGGTTTTAGTAGAATTGCATTTATTTATTTTTTAAAGGTTTATTTATTAGAGAGCACAAGCGTGGGGGTGGGAGGGGCAGAGGGAGAGAGAGAACCTCAAGCCGACTCCGCACTGAGCACGGAGCCGGATGCAGGACTTGATCCCACAACTCTGAGATCATGACCTGAGCCAAAATCCACAGTCGGATGCTTAATCACATGAGCCAACTAGGTGGCCCCTGAATGGGTTTTAGAATTTTAAATTGTTCGACTAAATTAATGAGAGATTCACTAATCTATGTAAAGACAACACTTTTTTTTTTTCTTGAGAAGTAGTTTTTTATTGTCTGGAATTCATTTTAGTCATTTAGCATTTTATTTTAAAGGCATTTGTATGGCCACTAACTCTTCTTCAGCTAAACTTATTTTGAGATAACTGTAGATTCACATGTGGTTTTGAGAAATAATGGAGATTTCCCATGTAGTCCATTTTCCCCACTGGTAACATCTTGTAAAGCCCCACCTTGATACAGTCAAGGTCCACAACAGTTCTATCACTACAAGGGTCCTTCTTCTTGCCCTTTACAACCACACCGCCTCCCTCCCTCCCACCTCACCCCTCCTTAACCCGTGGCAACCACTAACTGTTCTCTGTTTTTATAATATTGTCATTTCAGGAATGTTCTGCAAATGGCATCATAGAGCATGTCTTTAGAGATTGGCTGATTTCATTCAGCATAACTGTCTGGAGATGCATCCAGGCGGTTGCGTGACTCAGCAGTTCATTCCTTTTTATTGCCGAGCAGATTCCAGGTTATAAGTATAGCACACAGTTCATTTAACTGTTTACCTGCTGAAGGGCATCTGGGTTGTTTTCAGTTTGGGGCTGCTCTGAATACAGCTTCTGTAAACATTCATGCACAGGCTCCGTGTGAATGTGACTTTTCATTCCTCTGGGATAAGTGTCCAGGAGTAGAGTTGCTAGGTCAGTTGCTAGTTGCATGTTAGTTTTTAAAGAAACTGCCAAACTATTTTCCACAGGCGCTGTATTGTCTTACACTCCTACCAGCTGTGTGAAAGTAATCAAGTTTCTCTGCATCCTCACCAGCATGTGGTGTTGGCACTATTTTTTTTTTTTTTAAGCCATTCTGGTAGTGATCTCATTGTGGCTTTAATTTGAATTGCCCTGATAAGAAAGGATTTTGAACATCTTTTCATGTGTTCATTGGCCATTGTGTATCCTCTTTGATGGATTATCTGTGTCTTTTGCTCATGTCTAATTGGAGTGTTTGCTTTTTGCTGTTGAGTTTTGAGAGTTTATATATTTTAGATACTAGTCCTTTGTCAGATACGTGGTTTGAAAATATGTACTCTCAGTCTCTAATTTATCTTTCAACCTCTCAACAGGGTCATTTGCACAACAAACGCTTTTAGTTGTGATAGAGTCTATAAGTTTTTTCTTTAACAAATCATGCTTTTTGGTAACAGTGTGAGAACTCTTTGCTTGGCCTTAAATTCCAAAGATTTTCTCCCAGGTTTTTTCCTAAAAGTTTTATAGTTTTACATTTTATATTTAGGTCAGTGATCCATTTTGAATTAATTTTTGCATAAGATAGGAGACTTAGGTCAAGATTCCTTTTTTCTCCTGTGGATATCCAGTTGTTCCAGTGCCACACATTGAAAGATTCTATTTCCTTCATTGAATTGCTTTTACACCTTTGTCAAAAATCAGTTGGACAGGGGCGCCTGGGTGGCTTAGTCGGTTAAGCAGCTGACTTCGGCTCAGGTCATGATCTTGGGGTCCTGAGATCGAGCCCCATGTCGGGCTCCCTGCTCAGGGGGGTTGTCTCATTGTCCCTCGCCTTCTCCCTCTGCCCCACACTCTGCTCATGCTCTCTGTCTCTCTTTCAGATAATAAAAATCTTTAACAAAAATCAGTTGGGTATATTTGTGAGGGTCTTTTTCTGGATTCTTCATTCTGTTCCATTGGTGTATGTATGTCTGTCCTGCCAATACCACACAGTCTTGATTACTGTAACTATATAATAAGTCCTGAAATTGGATAGACTGATTCCTCCCTCTTTATTCTTCTCTAAAAAAAATGTTTTAGCTATTCTAGTTCCTTTGCCTTCCCATATAAATTTTAGGATAATCTTGTCTATATTTCCAAAAAATTTGGTTGGGATTTTATAGGAATTTTGTTAAACTTGTACATCAACTTGGGGAGCATTGGCATCTTTACAATATTTGAATCTTGCTGTTGAGGAACATGGTATGTCTCTCCATTTATTTAGGTCTGCTTTGATTTCTTTCATCCACATTATGTAATTTTCAGTACACAAGTTCTATACATATTTTGTTATATTTACACCTAGGTATTTCTCTCTTTTGTTTACATATACAATTGTAAATGACACTTTAATTTCAGTGTCCATGTGTTGACAGTGTGTAGAAATATAATTGATTTTTATATGTTTATCTTGTATCTGCAACCTTGATGAACTCTTATTAGTTTATGAATTTTACTTTTCATTTCTACTCCTGCTTATTTAACAGTTTCTGTGTGCCAGGCATCACATTAAGGCTTTCCATATGCTTGCCAAAGCCTAGTAGCTAGTGGAGCTAGAATCTTGACAGGTAGATTTATTTCCTCACTTCATTTGTTTGTTTGATAAATGTCTAAGGAGAACCTGTGTGGGCCACGGTGGATCCAGACACAGGGTTCCTGCCCTCCTGGAGCCTACAGTCTGAACCTGATGTTAGAAGTAACACAAATGGTTGTAAACTTAATAAAACAAGTTAATTATAATTAACAGCTTTCGACTCATACTGTAAGTGGCTAAAGCAGTGACACCTTAACCAGCCTCATGGAGTGGGAGCATCCAGGGAGGGCCTCCTAAATGATGTCCATTTCCTAGGAAAGGTTTTCCAAGAAGCCAGACTACTCATTGCTTCTTTCAACTTACATCAATTTTTGAAATTCAGAGAGGTCTGTGATAAAAGCTCACGTGAAGAGAATTCCTGGCCAAAACTGAATGAAGTTCTCTGTTGCCTCTTTCTCCTTACTGCACCCCTCCAGCTCCCTTGCCAGTGGTTCCCACCGAGGGCACCAGGCCTCCTCGCCCCCCAGACCAGCCAGCTCCGTCCAGCTCCCCTTACTCAGCGGGCCCTCTGCCCGGCTGGGTGTTGTCCACCATGTTCCCCTTTGCGAACCTCCCGTCCCTTCACTCCCACATCACTCTGGAGGGTTTCTTTCCCCCTTTCGCAGGTGAGATGGGTTGCAGAGTCCTTTGAGATGGAAAGGAGGTCCATTCAAGGAGTGAGATGCAGGGTCAGGGCCCCTTTCTGCCAGTCTGTCTGGGAAAATCATCAGTGTCCCTCAGCTTTGGTAACAGTAACTACATTAAGTTTCTGGTCAGTTGGGAAATAGATCTTACTATATAGAAATGTGCCTCTCTGACAGCCTTCCAGGTGAAGACCCCTCTGCCTCTGGGAAGGGAAGGGATGGACTGTCACTGGGCACCGCGTACGTTCCCGCACAGTGCTTGGCCCCTCGGGGCTGCTGCTGGCCCGAGCCAGTTCTGTCCCCACTCCCATGTCTTTGCACCCTCAGGAAGTCCCGGTCCTGCCTTAGGACTGAGGATACTTCCTTCTCTTCCGGTTTTCCCCACCGACTGTAGGAGAAATCGCTTGTCTTTGAGTCAGCGTGGAAGAAGGAGAAGGACATAGTTTCCAAGGAGATCGAGAAGTTACGTGTGTCCATCCAGACCCTGTGCAAGAGCGCGCTCCCCCTGGGGAAGATCATGGACTACATCCAGGAGGACGTGGACGCCATGCAGAACGAGCTGCAGCTGTGGCACAGCGAGAATAAGCAGCACGCGGAGGCCCTGCAGAAGGAGCAGAGGTGGGCGGGGCCGGGGTGGGGTCTCTGCAGCAGGTGCAGAGGGGGGCGGGGCCAGGGCGGGGGCTTTGCAGAGGGGGCGGGGCCAGGGCGGGGGGGTTCTCTGCGGAAGGAGGAGAGGTGGGGGGGCGGGGCCGGGGGGGGGTGCTCTGCAGAAGGAGCAGAGGTGGGCGTGGGCGCAGGGAGCCCAGGGCGGCCACCTCCCCAAAGGAAGTGTTTTCCTTCCTCAGTCGTCGGCACAGAGCATGTCTTTGCATTAGTTAGGAAAGATTTGGAGTTAACGTGTTCACGCAGGTAGATACAGAGAGTAAACAATACAGGGAACTTTGTTTTATGTGTCTTATCAAAATCCCCAAAGTTTGGTAACTGTACTTGAAAGTATTTTAATTTTTTACTCTGAAAAGAAATAAATGCTGATGAGCCCATTTGGATATTGCTACTGTAAAGGAAATATAATAACCACTAAAAAGAGATTTACTTTAGGGAAATGATTGATGTTCTTTGTTTATAATCAGGGAATCTGGAATGCATGAAACTATCAGTTGTTAAGGGTTTGTCAGAAAACGACCTGAGCGGACATGGCGCTCGGTCTGTAAGCCCAACGGGAAAACGCTGTGTGATAATGAACCCGCTATCTCATTAGCCTGCTTACTCCCAAAACGTCCCTTAAAAGTGTAAGTGTCCAGCAGAAGAGGAGTTAGGAAATCGCCGAGAACTTTCTGGGGCCGAGCCCAGCACGGTGATTTGTTGGCACTTCCTACAGTTGATTTAAGGTACTGAAAAGTAGCACCCAGATGTTTCTTCCTTACAGAACCTGAGTTTGCTTTGTGGCAGGGTGGTTGGAAACTGTCACTCTTCTTTGTTTTTGTTTTGTTTTGTTTTGTTTTTTATATAGAGTATTTTTAAAAAATTTTATTTATTAGAGCGCCCACGAGCAGGGCGAGCGGCAGGCAGAGGTAGAGGGAGAAGCAGACCCCCCGCCGAGCAGGGAGCCCAATGTGGGGCTCGATCCCAGGACCCTGGGATCATGACCTGAGCCGAAGGCAGACGCTTTACCGACTGAGCCACCCAGGCACCCCATCACTCTTCTTTTATTTATTTTGTATTTATATGCTTAAAAAAACTAAAGAAAAGGCCAGTTTGACCTCTGCTTTCCCAAATACGTTCTAGATTTTTCCTGGCAGGTAACCCAGCACTGAAAGGCCTCACGCCTCGAACTCGTGAATTGGAGGAGCCTGGGTGGAGCACCCTGGCAGCTGGAGGAGCCTCCCTGAGGAAGGTGGGGAGGGGGGGCGTGTCGGGCTGCCGGGCCATGGCCTTAGTTGGTGGCCGCGCTGCTCGCCTCCCTGCTGTCCGAGGGCTCTGCAACATGCGATGTGGGGCTTTAGGAATAGTAGGCTCCTCTGTGTAATTGCATGTTTGGCTTCACTTTTGGCTGTGGGGCGGTAAAATAACGTTTTTCCCAGGTGTGAGGTCCTCGTCCCTTTATATCATTATCCAAATATGTTTATATTTTTACCCTTTTTCTTTGGATGCTGTGAATAACTTACTTTTGTCTTCTTTATTTGTTTCAATCAAGAAGCAAATCTAGAGGCGCCTGGGTGGCTCAGTCAGTTGAGCGTCTGCCTTCGGCTCGGGTCATGGTCCCAGGGTCCTGGGATCGAGCCCCGCATGGGGCTCCCTGCTCGGCAGGAAGCCTGCTTCTCCCTCTCCCACTCCCCCTGCTTGTGTTCCCTCTCTCGCTGGGTCTCTCTCTGTCAAGTAAATAAATAAAATCTTTAAAAAGAAAAGAAGCAGCAGCAGCAAATCGAAGCCGAGACTGGTACTCACAGCCCCTGTGTTGTGTCCCGCCAGCATCACGGACTGTGCGGTGGAGCCCCTGAAGGCCGAGCTGGCTGAGGTGGAGCAGCTGATCAAGGACCAGCAGGGTAGGATCTGTGCCGTCAAGGCCAACATCCTGAAGAACGACGAGAAGATTCAGAAAATGGTGTACAGTATCAGCCTGAGTTCGAGAAGGTGAAAGCTCACACGTTTCCAAAGCCGGAAGTCCTCCTCAGTCTGAAAATAAAAAGAAGATAGAACGTCACCATTCTCTTAAGTTCAGTTTCCTAAGAAAATGAAGTTTTCCGTGTCCTCCGCCCGAAGTGCAGAGCTCTGGAAGCGCAGGCACATCTGTGTGTAGAGGGGCCGTGTTCTCTCCCCTTCCTCCAGCGCAAGTATTGCCGGCTGTGCAGCTGTGTTCTCTGCGTCTCTGCGTGGCCTGTCCTGCTCGGGTCTGTGCCAGAATTCGCTAGCAGGTTTTAGGTCTGGTGACGGGACCCTGAGGGGAGCAGAGTGAAGGATGGCTGCCTTCTGATGGGCACTTACAAACAGAATGGGGCCTGAACATGAGTCTGCTCTATTTTGAGTTCATTTCCCCTCTGAAAGGGTTCATTTCAGTCTGTATCTTTATAAGGTACGCCTGAGGTTTTTTTTTAAAGCTCTTTGCAACTGCGTATACCTCTTTGTCATTTTCTCATTGGTCCCTACGGCCTCTTGCTTGTGCTTGCAGCCTTAAAGTTCATAAATTGAAGGAGATTTCAGTATGTCCTTCATGGACATTCGGCCCCAGGGCTTTCCCCATGTGGGTAGCAGTGAGCTGCTCCAGGCCCGCACTCGCCTTCCCCCAGTGGCCCTGGTGTCTTTCCTAATCCTTCCCGTAGATGTGCGTTCCCGAGAGGCGGGTCGCTTGGGGCAAACAGCTGAAGGAAGACTTTGGGGGATGCACCAATTTGCAACATTTTTTTGATGTTACTATTTTTTTGGAAATTGTTTTTTACAGCAAGGTTTTTTTTAGAACATGGTTTATGTTAAGTTTTTCACTCACATATGATATTGTAAATACTTAATGAAAGTCTTAAGTTTGTATAGAAAGGAATCCAGTGTTTGGAGACATACAGGTCATAAGGTCTGGGTCCTGATGCTGGTATTTCTAGATATTTATGGTGTGAACCACGCAGTGCCATTTAAATGTTAGAATTGCCTGAGAAAGTTCTGCTTCTTTAAGGCTTAGCACAAATACACAGGTTAGGTTTCCTTACTGTAATTTCCAAAAGAAATCCTTTTCTAAGGTGGTTATATGATTTTTCCAAGCTGAATAAGTTCAGGATCAGATTATGAAGCTCTGCCATTTTGGACACATTGGCCACTTTGTCGTTTCTACCACTCAGCATAAAATTTTTGATCAGATTGTACTAAACGCATTATTGGAGGCGGGAGGGGTGGCCATTAACTAGCCCTCCATGTACTCGTCTCTTTTCTTCTGAGTTGAACAACTTAGCCACAACCCAATGGATTGTTTTTGCTTCAAGATGTGTTTGCTTTTTATGAATTTGTACATACGAATAGGATTTTTGTGTTGCAAAAAAAAATTGCATACATTTTATGTGAGTAAAATTTTGTACGAAGTAGTTTATCAAATTGTATCATAAAATTTATTTTATACATAAATCATTAAAAACAATCATTTTTTTCTATAAGTGGGTTGTGCAGTTCAGTTCACAGCTGGAGAAAACATAAGCATTTAGATTTTTGTATTTTTAAATGTGTATATTCTGTTTTCCTTGTGAAGAAAGTTCAGGGAAATTTATCTTTTCATTCATATCGTGACATTTATCCATCTTCTGTATAAAGTGAAGTTTTATAAGACAGATAAGCATTTGTCAGAAACTTCGAGATCATTCATGAAGTTTTAGGCAGTCTCTCTGATTATTACGGTATCTTTATCAGAGACATGATGGGTCCTGATGTTTTGTATTACTTTGAGAAAATACACAAGGGGGTTATTAAGCCTTTACCTCTACTTTGGCTTGGACATTTCCAGGAAGTACTGAAGTCTCCCTGCAGGAATTTTAATTTAAAAGTTGAGCTGACATTAATTTCTATTCAAAGAAAATGTGTAAACCTTTGGGGGAAAAAAAAATTCAGGACTAAAATGTGAGCTTTGATATTCATGCTTATTTTTCTTTTCAGTAAGCAACTTAAACAATGTTCATGACCAATCTGTGATGAGAAATGATATCACTAAGTGACACGGAGTGCGGTTAGGATGTTGGGTGGTCCGGAGTCCCATCCTGCGTCCCGACAGGTGCCCCCAAAGCATGCTTGTGCTTCTTGGCTGAGCTGTGCCGAGCTGACTCCATCTGTCTGCTGTTGGTGCGCGGGGTCAGGGTGCGTGAGCGGGAGCACGGGCAGCAGGGCCTGGACCAGCCTGTGAGTGAACACATGGATGTTCGTGGTCACAGGGATGACCGGTTGCTGGAGCTGCCACGAGAATTGGTTTCAAAGGAGGCCATGCACAACAAGACCATGCCCACCGCGAGGGAGGATATTCCACACAGACTCTGTGCCCAGCTCCAGAATCTTCCACGCACACCCAGCGATGCCTCCCGAGGAGCCAGCCACAGCCTCGTGGGCGGGCTTCCGTGCGGTCCGCCACAGCAGGGGGCGGGAGTGAGAGGGGCGGTCGTGGGAGCCGCTGAGGCGGGGGAGGGGGCAGCGCCCCTGTCAGGACCGGAGGGGAGCTGTGTCCTGCTCCTGGGCTCTGAGTTGAACTGTCCCATGATGCACTTTATTAATAAACGTTTTCTGTTTTCCCAGAAGGTGTTCTGACAGGTATAGTTTTACCAGCCTCGTAGTAGGGCAGAAGTGAGGCCCACACACGAGTCCCGGTTTTGCTTGTTTCGCGTGTTTTCGTAAAGGAAGACCGGGGAGGACTTTTTTTCCTGGCCAGTGTGGTTCTTAAACTGTGACTTTTTAAAGTCCATATTTAGAGCTGAGTTCCAGATTGATGATCAGCTTCTTAAACCGAGCAAGTGGGTCTTCCTGGTAAGAAAATGGGGTTCAAACAGTGCAGTCCATAAACCACAAGGAGGCCATGCACCGTTAAGGGGGGGGGGGGGGGACTCTGTAAGCGGGCGTGGTCCCGACCCCCGCTGCTCCTCCAGGGCCCGAGCCGCCAGCGCCGCCCGCCAGCCCGTCGGGAGGCCACGGGACAGGAGGGCCTGCCACCGGACCTTCCCAGCGCCTGTGCTGGCCCCCGCGGTGCTCTCACATCTCCCGTGCAGGTCTCAGGACAAGCTTTGTGATGCTGCCGTCACCACGACCTCGCACTTAAATCCCAGAGCACTTAAGGTTCCCCATCAAAACCTCCATGAAAGCCAGTGTTTTACTGGACGACACCAGCTGGTGTGTGCAGGCTCGCTTCCTGGTCGACGCTAGTGTGCACACGTGCGGTGCTTACTGTCCCCGCCCAGGCTCCGGGGGCGCCGGCACTCCCCCAGGGGGTGGTCACCGTCCTGAGCTGCTCAGACTTTCCTCGAGGCGAAATTTTAACAGCATCCCTCTGCCACCCCCAGCCGTGTCCTGGTTTGGACAGCAGACGACGTGGCCCTGTTCCTGTTGGAAACCTGCCGTTGGGGTCAGCCAGGGCGCTCGCGTGCCTGGTGCCCGCCGAGCGCCAGTGTGGGCAGCAGCTGGGTCCACCGGTGAAGTTAGTAAGCTGGATTGGGGGATGTGCTGTCGAGACCGTGGACATCTGACGAGGCTTCTGCTTCCCTGTGGACAGACGTGGGGATGCGTTTGCATTCAGCACTGGTGGAAGGACCTTGGCGTAAAGGCTCCTGTCGTTGAACTGATGTTGCGCCGAAGGGGGTTCCTGGTGGGCCTGTTCTCGGACATCTTTACCGATGATTTGGAGGAAGCTGGGGGAAGTGGGTCTGTGTCATTCACAACTGCGCGAACGAGTGGGCAGGCCCCGGACACTGAAGAATCGACTCAGGACATGGGAACATGAAACCGGGCCAGCCCTGACTGGGTGAAAGAGAACAGGAAGAACCGTGAGGGCGGTTCCAGGCGGGTGCCCAAGCAGCGCTGCACTTGGGATGTGATGGGGGGGCCGCGGAAACCCCCCGGGGTTCTCTGATGAAGCCGGCGCTTCGATCTTGGAAGGCATTGGAGGATGTGAGGCCTGGCTGGCCCTGGACCACCGCCTGCTGGTCCGGGTTCCCCCAGAGCCCAGCAGGGCACCCTGGTGACAGTGTTATATGTAAAAATCTTTTTTTTCTTTTTTCTTTTTCTTTAAAGAAACCATTTCTGGGGCGCCTGAGTGGCTCAGTCAATTAAGCATCTGCCTTTAGCTCAGGTCATGATCTCGGGTTCCCAGGATCGAGCCCCACATGGGGCTCCCTGCTCAGTGGGGAGTCTGCTTCTCCCACTCCATCTGCTGCTCCCCCTGTTTGTGCTCACTCTCTCTGTCAAATAAATAAGTAAAATCTTAAAAAAATATATGTATAAATTAATGAAACAGCATTAACTTCTGACGAGATACGTAAATCTGGGAATTTAGTGTCTGATAAATATGGTATTTCAAAGCAGAAGCATTTCAGATTGTTGTCCAAATAAATGGTATTGGAGCATATGGTCATCCACATGGCAAAAATAAAATATTCTTGCCTCATACCACATACAAAAATAAGTTTCCAAAAAATTAAAGAACTTTAAAAATAGAATACTAGAATGATCGAAGAACACTTTGTATTTATCGTATTTGTAGATATATTTTTATTATTTATTGATATATTATCATACTAATACATTTATTATAGTTTTGTGAGCGGTAACAATATATAGGAACAAAGCACCTAGGAGAGAGCATAGTAAGTGCTAAATATGTTTTGGGGTGAAGAAGAACTTCCTAAAAAAGACATAATTTCCAGAGGCCATAGATGAAAAAAAAAACTAACCCTTGGCTCATAAAAATTAAACGTTTCTAGCCAAGCAAACGTTAAAAATACAGATGGCCCATTGGGGGAAATATTTGCAACATCTCTAGCAGAGGTAATATTCATAGTAGACAGAGACTTTTAATAATAAAAATACTTATGGCCCAGTTGGATGCTGGAAGAAAGATACAGTCAGTTCACAGAAGATGCCAGTGGTCAAGAAGCACATGAGACCCGTGTTTCACCTTATGGGGGAGAAATAACGTGGCCCGGAGTCTGGAATCCAGATAGGAGAGAGT